CATCCCAGGCCCCAAGAAGACTTTCCACATCAAGCAGATGTTCACCTGCACATCTGCTAATGCGGTACACTGCATCCGCTGTACCCATTGTGGCCTCCTGTACATTGGGGAAACCAAGCGGAGGCTTGGGAACCGCTTTGCGGAACACCTACGCTTGGTTCGCAATAAACAACTGCACCTTCCAGTCGCGAACCATTTCAACTTCCCCTCCCATTGCTCAGACGACATGTCTATCCTGGGCCTCCTGCAGTGCCACAACGATGCCACCCGAAGGTTGCAGGAACAGCAACTCCTATTCCGCTTGGGAACCCTGCAGCCCAATGGTATCAATGTGGATTTCACAAGCTTCAAAATCTCCCCTCCCCCTACCGCATCCCAAAACCAGCCCAGCTCATCCCCGCCTCCCTAACCTGTCCTTCCTCCCGCCTATCCCCTCCTCCCACCTCAAGCCGCACCTCCATTTCCTACCTACTAACCTCATCCCGCCCCCTTGACCTGTCCGTCCTCCCTGGACTGACCTATCTCCTCCCTACCTCCCCACCTACACTCACCTTTACTGGCTCCATCCCCGCCTCTTCGACCTGTCTGTTTCCTCTCCACCTGTCTTCTCCTCTATCCATCTTCTATCCGCCTCCCCCTCTCTCCCTATTTATTTCAGAACCCCCTACCCCTCCCCCATTTCTGATGAAGGGTCTCGGCCTGAAACGTCAGCCTTTCTGCTCCTATGATGCTGCTTGGCCTGCTGTGTTCATCCAGCTCTACACCTTGTTATCTCAGATTTCCCAGCATCTGCAGTTCCTACTATCTCTCGTGCAAAATGATACATTTTGTAGGTTCATTCTGGAAACCCATGTTCTTAGCTGAAGTTAATCATCTGCTGTGTGATGTTTAACTGGTCTGCCTCTCGGGAACCTGCTCCTAGAATATTCTAAAAATAACATGTCAGTTTAAGAAATGAATGAGATGAGCGGAGTGCATCATAAAATGCAATTAACAATCTGAATTTTCTTCGCCGTACGATGAAATACAATCTGGAGAGGCAACTGAAAAACTAGATGCCACACTACATGGAAATCTTACTGCAGCACTACATTTTAGAAATCTAACAGCGAATCAGTTTTACAGTTGGTTTTATCTTCAGATCTATCCTAGGATTAAAATGCTTTATCGGAAAATGTGCCCTGTACTGGTGCAAATTAAATTTCTTTTGAAGCAGAATCAGAGTACAGATAGCCATCTTGATGTATTTTCGGCAATGGCTGATTGAATTGCCTGGTTTTGACAATTCATGCTTGGTTCAGCAAAATAGGAAACTTGATGCAATGCAATTGATCCATGTTTGGACTGACAGTAATTCTCTTTTCCAATTCTTATCTGGTTAAGAGCAACAGATATTTCTATACTTTCTATACTTTTAAATACCTATAAGAGGTAATTTCTCTGGCTCAAAGCATTAAATAAGTCTTTTTTGTCCACTTTACATCTGGTTCAGTGATAACTGATTCAAATAATTCTGTTTAAATTTGCTGCAGGGTTAAACACAATAATATGCAACTGAGCTCTGAATAAGTAACAATGCCAAACATTCCTTTCAGTGCATGTGAACACACATAGGGTGTCGTGTTCTCTGCAGATATTCGTATCCCCGTGCAACATGATGAATTTTCGATTTTAAAATTATTAACAATTAATTTGAACAAGAAACATTTTGAGGTGGATTATGCTAAGTTACTGGCGATATATTCTTGCATTAAATGTTCAGTGACCTTGGCAATAACATTGAAATAAGGAGGGGCAGAAAAAATGGAGACAGAATTGAAATGAAATTGTAAATGGGGACTCCGAAACTTCCAAGGCCGTTCTTTGGTAGGATATAAATTCTGGTACAGTGCTCTTTTGATCTGAGACCAGGGCTCAAAGCTGAAATTCCACAGATGGGGTTACTTGCATAGTGGGGATGGATCCCAAACACCTACAAGTGCTCCAACCCCTTCACTGTCTAAGTAGAACAAAGTTCTGTTGAGGACTAAGAAACAGATTCAGATAACTTGATGCATATAGACATGCAGAATTTGAGAAAATGCAATGTGACCAGCTTGACAAGTACTAATATTTCTGAAATTGCAAAAACAATCAGTGAACTGATATAAATTAACACTATATAAAGCTATTTTTTTGCTATAGATTATTGTATCCTCCCTCCCCTTATCTTGGAATCAGACATCTGTACCTTGAGTATCAACAAGGGAGAGATTTCCATGTTTCATGTGGGTCCCGTTCCCTTATGTCTTTTGGCACATGTTACCTTGTTTTTGGCCTTCTGTATTTTCCACCCACTTAGCTTTCAGCATTCATGCTGTGTGCTGATCACTTTTGGTTTTATTGACAACGTCAGCTTGTTTTACTTTATTAACCTGTTGACTATCATTATTTCTCCATGTATGGCAGTTTTGTAGCTTCACAGGATGGAATTTTCTGCTCATTTGAGCAATAGCAAGAATGTTGGGGAAGTATGGCGAAAATGGAAAAATCAAATTCTCAACATCCCCTTTCGATTGAAATAATGAGTTCCAAGTCTCGCCAATAAGCAGTGATCGCCGTATTTGCATTTACATCTCACTGTTTGCTAAGTTGTCTCCATCATATGCAGCTCCCAATTCTCATCTCCTTCCCTGAGAAATAGATGGTGCCAGTTCCTAAAAGTCAGAGAGGCAACTTGGCAGTAGGAGCTTACCACTTGTTTCTCTCGACTTTAACTCTGCTTTCACCATAACGTGCCTAAATACTCCATAGCTACTGACCTCTTCTATCCTTCAAACAAGCTAGCCAGCATCAAACCACCAGCCTCACCATACCATCACACATAGCCCCAGTCCAACTCTCACACCATGTCATACCTTCAGGTCTTCACTTTGGAGCTGAGGGACACCCATGATTTACATGCTTCTGTAAGATTAATTTGTGTACTATGCCACACTTGAAATTCATGTATCCCAACTGTGTGCATTTTATGGATCTTAGCTTCATTTCTTAGTGCGCAGTCATTTTGCACTTGTTTGGAGACTGCCAGCCTTGCGTTGCTTTTTAGTGTATAGGAAAAGGTTTCTGCTTGTCATGATGGGGAGCACTGAACAGTCAAGGGGGTGATGTGTTGCTTTGTGTCAATGTCATACCTACAACATGTGTCAGCAGCTTACCAGGCAAATACGTGGCATGTGTTTCAACCAAGTGGCCATGTGTGAAAGTCAAAAGGGGCTAGTCCCTCGTTGGGTCCAAGTGTTCAGTCTGGAGGCACCACCACATACAGTCAAGGGACTTGTCGGATTTCAGTCCAGGGTGTTGGCCACAGTTAGTCATGTAGGTCTGGTGCAACCAGTCCAGGGGTTACAGGTTTGCCATTCGGGTTACTGTGGAGGCATCAGTTGGGGGTTGGGGAGTTGGGGCTAACTTTTTTCCTTCAACGAGACAAAGGGAGGGGTGGAGTATGATCATGTGGATGCAAGAGAAATTAGTACTGCTGGTGAGGTATCTCCTGTTGAGTGAGTAGAAAGCACAGAGAGCAGGAAGGGTAAGTAGTTTGGGAGGAAGCTGTGTGTGAGAATTGTTGAGTAGACATGCTGCCCACTGTAATGAGAGTTGGAGTTTGTGAGGCTTGGAGAGATCGGCATGGTGCAGTGGCAGAGTTCTGATCAGGGTGGTGGTAAGGAAACAGAGAGAAGATAGTGGCATTTATGCTTGCAGTGTGCAGAAGAACATTAATCTTATTCCTGCACCCCAGTGCATTGCGTTTCACTCAGGATGCCATACTGACCTGGGCTGTTGTCTTTTTTTTTTAATATTCATTCACAAGATGAGGGTGTTGTTGGCTAGGTAGCATTTATTGCCCATCAAGGCTGACTGAGACCAGTGGTGTGGCCTCTTTTGGTGGACAATGGATACAGCACTGCCCACCAACCCATCCACCGCACCTCCCAGGTGCCTGTCAACAATAGCTGGATGTCAGCTTCCCTTTCTGGGCCACATCCTCATTAGTAATGACTTCACACCAGAGTATGAAGGGCAGTGCCACGCTTGTAGCATCTGAGGTGATGAACATCTAGGGTTTAAGTATGGTGCCAGCTGCAAGAACAATGCAAAGTCCTGGCAGAGGTGAGCATATCCACTTCTGCTGGACACACAATTCAAAGAAGCAAGTTACATAACTAATGAACTGTGGAGAAGATTGCCTGAGAGAAGTCACCATGAACCAGGGTGAACTGCCCGGCCTGAAACTCGCCAAAGAAAACCCTTTGCAAAAAATGACAAAATTCAGCCCATGCTAATTATGAAAGCTGTCAGATTGTTGTGAAAAAACAACAAATTCACTGAGGTCTTGGGAGAGAATGTCCGATCTTGTTCAGTCTGTACACCAGTCACAGACTATCATGGTAGCTGTGTATAAATAGTAAATACTATCTTGGCACTGCCACCCTCACCCAGAAACAAATAAAAGAAGTCTTTATTTCAGTTTTTTGTTTCAATCATTCTGTCATTTTAGATTTGTAGGTTAGATTTGAACTCGTTTCTGAAATAAAAAGCAGGCTTTGACAATAAGGTCCCAGCTATAGTGATTTACATGCAAAGTAGTTCAATTTGAACAATTTCTTGAACTTGTATTGTCTCCATACTAAATTCCCCGATGGTTTGAAAGACTGTGCAAAGAATCGACTATGCATTCAATACAAAATAATTTACCTAATATGTGATACCATTTAGGTATTTCTGTCTGGTTGCTGATACACGATTTATTTCTGAGGAAGGGTCACCGGACCCGAAACGTTAACTCTGTTTTTTCCTTCACAGATGCTGCCAGACCTGCTGGGCTTTTCTAGCAACTTTGTTTTTGTTTAGGATTTATTTTTGCCTACCTCTCTCTAGCCATTCGGTGTTGAAGATGCAAATACATACTGAATTCTAACAGTTGATAGCCTGCTTCACTCATGTTTTCTTCTTCTCTATAGTGGCTCACCCTCAGGACCCTCACAAGCCCACAGAAAAGCCAGTCATCCACTGTTTCAAATGTGGAGACCCATGTAAAGGACAAGTACTACGTGTCCAATCAAGACATTTCCACCTCAAATGCTTCACTTGCAAAGGTAGGAGTGTCAAGAGTAATTTTTGACTTTTGAATTTTTCTATTTCTGTTTAACTCCAAAGTTTCAAGATAAACAAGACCTGTTGTAAACAGTACCTCGTGTGTTCACAGTTTGATAATTTATTTTCTTAGTAAAACTTGACATACTTGTTAGACATGCCTTTAACATAGCACCCTGTGCCTTCGTAACTTGGGTGAAACATTTGTTGGATATCATCTTAGAGGACTGCTTTGATGAAAGGACGACACAGTTAATGAAGGGGTGACACCTTGAACCAATGTTTGAACCTTGGTTTTAACGGGCAGGTTCAGTCCTAGTTGCTGACTGTTATAGATCCTGTATGAAAATCATTTCAATGAGGCTGTCACAATTTGCTCAAACAGGGAGACCTCATATCATAACCAGCAGTCAGCGAGGTGACTGCCACTTCTCAGTTATATGGACTGTAAAACATTGGCTTGTATTAGTGTTTGCTGTTGCTGAATTTTATCTTAGCAGAAGTTTGAAAATAGAAATAAGGGGCAGAGGCATGAAATCTGCTTGATGTTCATTTTAGAAGAACTATTCATCCGTTCCACAGTCTCATTCCAGGAATTTTGAAGGAGCTCTGGGAATCATAGGTAAAGGAATGTTAATTGTGCCAAGGACGCAGTCAGATTTTCCACTCTGCACATGGTGCCTTTAATATTTATTTACCCTTGACCCTAAGAGTCCTTTCTAACATCCTGTTATGGTATCAAAACTAAATTGATGAAGATAGCTCCTTGCTAAACTACTATGTTGTCTTGCTGATTCTGCAAAGCAGGAAGATTATGACTGGGCACCTTGCCAGCACAGTTTTAAAAGCTCGTGCCAAATTTTATTGTTCAACAAATTCTGGATTTTGTGTCTTGGATCTCTTCATAATGAGGATGATGTTGCAGTAGGACCCTGCACTGGTTAGTTCTCCAATTCTCAAGGGCATGAGCTGCACAGCAGAAGGTGGGTCACAGAGTTTGTGATGTAGACTTGATAGGAAGGTCAGAGGCCTCAGGTGTACTTTAGGGGCGGTGGGTTGGAAGCTTGCAAACTTTAGCGATATCTTGGGAGTTGGGGTACATGTTCGTGTGGGCCAGGAGGTCAGGGCTGGGACAAAGGAGTGTGGTGTTTTGAGTGGTTTGATGTCAGAGTTGGGAGTGGAGTGGGAGTTGGGTGATCAGGCAATTGTGCAGATATGAATATATTAAATATTCATTTTATCATATTTAATGTTAATTTTCTGCGACTGGCAATGGCTATCTGAGGGCAAACCAAAGTTACAGTGGGACCGGAAGTGTGTGTTAAGTTCTGTATTTACACATACAAATGGATGAACAGCTGCTTCAGATGGAGGTAAATGATGCCTTTGTTTGGCCTTTGGTGTGATTCTTGGCAGATGTACAAGAGCATCAATGCTGTTTTGGATCCTGAATAGCACATTTGGCACCCGAAGAATGGGTGCTACTGATCACAATTTCAAGCTCTTGATGCTTTAAAATCAAATCTTCTTGGTGCAACAGACACATGCAGGTTGAGAGCTATAGTGCTTTTTTTATTTTTGGTGCTTTTGTCATGTCATTAATGTACGCGGGCTCCATATATCCACATCAGCTGAAGGTGTGGTTTGTCCTGGATGACATGCAGGATTGCTTTGGAAATAAAGGAGAGTGAACACAAGTATTCGGGCGTAGCCTAATGGAGGAGGACCAGAGGAGGAGGAATGTCCTGTCCCCAAAGTGTGGAAGGCAAAGATGGGATGGTGGGGAAGTGTCCATCTTACAGCTCCAATCTGTCCTTCCCATCCCTCTGGTTCTCCTTCTGTTCATTGTGCAGAGTACCACCTTTCTCCTGGTGACTTCTATAAGCTGCCACGTAGCAATTAATCATTTTGGATGACTTTCCAGAATTAATGTTAAACAGTTTTAGAGAAGTCTTGCAATGAGACACCCGGTGGGTTTCAAAGGTCCTTCCCAAATGTCCACGAGCAAATGAACAGTGAAATCTCAGCATAGTTTCAAAGCAATGTGCAGCAAACTTCTTTAATCCTGTTTAGTTGCTCACTGATAAACTGGATCACTAATTAAAGTAATAGTCACTGAAGTGCAATCCAGCCTGCTTCTTGAGCACTAGTTGTCACTGAGACCTTTAATGAACCTTCAGGCATCTGGTCTTTGTGCTGCAATCTTTTGCCAAAGAGTGCAAACAGTGATAGAGGTTTGGAACTCTCTCTTGCACAGTCATCAATTGATACTAGACCAATTGTTAATTCCAGATCTGAAATCGACTTCTTTTTTTGTTAATCAATAGCATTAAATTATATGAAGCTAAAGGAAATGGAGCTAGATCACAGGTCAACCATGATATCATTGAATATCATAACAGTGTGAAAGGGCGAAATGACCTAATCCTATTCCTAAATTTCTGGTGAAAATTGGCCCTGTACATTCAAATTAAAACAGATGTAACACTAACGACTGGCACCATTGGTTAATGAACAAGCTCAGGTTTCATTCTTCGTAGGAAAGATGACTAAGGACCTGCCTTCAAGTTTGAGTGCACTTTGAGAATTAAAATAAATAACAATGAAGAATGGCTAAACTATTGAAAGGTTGGATCTTTTATTCACAGTATTATCAATTACATAAAGAGAAGCCAAATTTCAATATTCTGAACACAAAACAGATCTCCATCTTATTTCATTCTTCTAGTATCTGGAGAGATTTTCTGGTAATTGTTTTGTAAATTGTAAATTTGCCTGTCATAAAGGGCAGCACCGTGGCTCACTGGTTAACGTTGCTGCCTCACAGCACCTGGGACCAGGGTTTGATTCCAGCCTTGGGCGACTGTCTGTGTAGAGTTTGCATATTCTCCCTGTCTGTGTTGGATCCCACTAGGTGCTCCAGTTTTCTCCTGCAGTCCAAAGATGTACAGGTTTGGCATGTTAAATCGTCCTTAGGGTCCAGGGATGTGTAGGCTAGATGGGTCAGCCATGGTAAATGCAGAGTTATGGGGATAGGGTGGCGGATTAGGTCTGTGTGGGATGCTGTTTAGAGGGACGGTGCAGACTTGGCAGGCTGAATGGCCTTTTTCCACACTGTAGGGATTCTATGATAAAGCAAATTGGAAGCCACTAGTTAACTAGAAGGAAATAGTGCATTGTTAATTGCTCACTGTATTGCTAGATGGGTTATGTAGCATTTTACCAACAATTGAGAGAAACCTCTACAAGGAAATTTTAAGGGACATTTATACCATGATTTATGCTATTTTACCCTTGCATAAAAATCAGATCATTAATTAGAAAAGACAGGGAAAAAAAACAGGTTTTAAAAACAAAGTTGTAAATCTTGGCAATGATACAGTAGCTCATTAGCTTTATATCTGCAGAAAATAAGTCTTTTCAGTGACAAATCTTTGAGCTTAGATGACTGGTTCCTGATGTAAAGGAGTAGTCAAGTGAAAGATGAATTGTTGGAATTCCAAAAGAAACCAAGACATGAATATTTGACTGCCTGTGGATTGTTATGGATACAATTACAAAGGCAATGGAAATATCACACCGATGGCACAACATCTCAAAGAAAAATTTGTAGAAACATAGGAACAAGAGTATGCCGTTCAACTCCTCAAGCATGTTACATCAATCAATTAATCTGAACCTCCACTACATGTGCCAATCTTATCGTATTCTTTCATAAAAGCCGAAAGAACAGCGGATGCTGTAAATCAGGAACAAAAACAAAGATGCTGGAAAAGCCCAGCAGGTCTGGCAGCGTCTGTGAAGAAAAAAAATCAGATTTAATGTTTCAGGTCCAGTGACCCTTCCTCAGAACTAGCTCTGCGGAAGGATCACTGGACCTGAAACATTAAATCTGATTTTTTTTCTTCAGATGCTGCCCAACCTGCTGGGCTTTTCCAGCATCTTTGTTTTTGTTTATCGTATTCTTTGATGGTTTCTTGCCTACAGGAATCTATCCCAACCTCTGCCATGAGAGTAGCAAGACTTTCTGGGGAGATTCTAGATTTCTCCAACCCTTTGTGTGAAAACAGCATTTTTTTTCCCCTCCTAAAAATGGCTTACACTAATTTTACTATTATGTCTCCCTGGCTTTCTGCCAGAGGAAATAGTTTTTCCATGTCTGCCCAAGCGAAATATCTTAACATCTTAAACACCTTAACCAGACCATCTCTTGAAATAACTTCACAGAGGCTAGTAACCCATCACCAAGTCACCCTTGACTTACATGTGACCAGTCCTTGACTCTAATACTGCCCCATTTGGATTCGGCTATCAGTTTCAGTATCTGTGACATTCCCTTTATCTGTCGGCAAGGCCTCCCTGATTGGACCAGATTAACAGTCTGGTCCTGGAACTCATATTCTACGATGTCCAGCTGGCTGACCTCATTACAGTCACAACACCTCTTATTCTTCTGTTTTTTAAGGGAATACAAAGCAGGCCCTAGAATTAATATGAATCTGTGCAATAACCACTTTGAGGGCAATACTTCCTCCGTATGTTTTGTTATCCAGAATGCAGTAATTAAGACAGACATCTAGCTAACTTTAGAGCTACCCACACCACTAGGCAGAGCATTGATGTGGAAACTGGTGGCTGAAGTAAACTGAACAAAGAAAATACAAAGGTCCACCTACAAGCTAGCAGCTGATTAGAGCATAAAGCATTTAACAAGATAAGGGAAGGACTGTGCAAATTCAAACCAACAAATAACATCATCAAGCTAAGCCATTTGTTTAACAGCTATCTGTCATAAACATCTTTGCTTTACAAAATTGTTAGTAGAATTTCATTTATTATTCTTTTAGAATTCTTAAGTGCTTTGTTATTATGCCTAAAGTCCCTCTTCTATGCTATATGCTGACACAGAAATAATTACCTGTCTAAACTTATCTGCAAAGAAGTCCAACTAAAAGCATGAAAGCTCTGATAAATAGTCTTATGGGTAGAAATTCTTCTCGAT